CCACTCTCACCCCTCCTGTTCAACATAGTATTGGAAGTCCTGGCTAGAGCAATCCGAGAAGAGGAGGCAATCAGAGGTATTCAAATAGGAAAAACGGAAGTCAAGTTATCTCTCTATGCAGATGATATGATTGTGTACCTTGAAAACCCAAGAGAATCTGTCAAAAGCCTCCTTACATTGATAAAGGCCTTTGGCAAAGTCTCAGGATACAAAATAAATGTACAAAAGACAATCACAGTTCTCTACACCAATAATAAACAAACAGAACCCAAATAAAAAACATAATTCCATTCACAATAGCCACAAAAAAAATGAAATACCTTGGCATCTTCCTAACCAGAGATGTGAAAGACCTTTACAATGAAAACTACAAAACACTGCTCAAAGAAATCAAAGCTGACATGAACAAGTGGAAAAACATCCCTTGCTCATGGATTGGAAGAATCAACATTGTGAAGATGTCCATCTTACCTAAGGTAATCTACAAATTCAATGCAATACCCATTAAATTACCAACAACATACTTCTCAGACTTAGAAAAAACAACACAGGAATTCATATGGAAACACAAACATCCAAGAATAGCCAGAACAATCCTCAGCAAAAAAAAACAAAGCAGGTGGTATCACAATACCAGACTTCAAACTTTACTATAAAGCTACAATCATCAAAACAGCTTGGTATTGGCACAGGAACAGGCATATAGATCAATGGAATAGAATTGAGATTCCAGAAGCAAAACTTCAATTTCTCAACTAACTCATCTTTAACAAAGCCCCCACCACCTACCACTGGGGAGAGGAGAACCTATTCAGTAAATGGTGCTGGGAAAACTGGCTGACCACATGCAGAAGATTGAAACAGGACCCCTATCTATCCCCATGCACAAAGGTTAACTCCAAATGGATCAGAGACCTAAATGTAAAACCTCAAACCATAAGAACCTTAGAAAAGGAAGGAAATACCCTCATGGGAATCGGAACTGGCATCCAATTCCTGAACAAAACCCAAAACCCACAGGCCATAAGAGAGAAGATAGACAAGTGGGACCTTATTAAACTGACAAGCTTCTGCAAAGCCAAAGAAACCATCAAGAGAGCAGGGAGACAGCCTACAGACTGGGAAAAAGTATTTGCCAACTCCAGGTCTGACAAAGGCTTAACATCCTGGATCTACAAGGAACTGAAACGTACTGAAAAGAAGAAAACAAACAACCCCATTATAAAATGGGCAAAAGATATGAACAGACACATCACAAAAGAAGATATCCAAGTAGCCAACAAACACATGAAGAAATGCTCCACCTCACTAATCACCAGGGAGATGCAAATCAAAACCACACTGAGATACCACCTAACTCCAGTCAGAATGGCAATTATCAACAACTCAAAAATAACAGCTGCTGGAGAGGGTGTGGTGAAAAGGGAACACTTCTACACTGTTGGTGGGAGTGTAAACTAGTACAACCTCTGTGGAAAGCAGTGTGGCGATTCCTAAAAGCTCTAAAAATCGACCTTCCATATGACCCCGCAATCCCCCTACTGGGAATATACCCTGAAGAACTCAAATCACTCTATAAAAAAGATACCTGCACACGTATGTTTATCGCAGCGTTGTTCACAATAGCAAGAACCTGGAAACAACCATGCTGCCCATCAAAAGAGGACTGCATTAAAAAAATGTGGTACATATACACGATGGAATACTACGCAGCCATAAAAAAGAACAAAATCATGAATTTCGCAGCAACCTGGATGGAACTAGAGTCTATAATACTGAGTGACCTCTCACAGAAACAAAGATCCAAGTATCACATGTTCTCACTCATATAATGGACCTTGAACATCCAATGTAATACTATAAGAAAATGACTGACGGTACTGGGAAACTATGGGGGGTAGGGGGATGGGATTAACAGTAGCAAATATCTGTCTGGGGATGGGAAAACACCTCTTATCAACAGGGTGCCTGAATGAAATGTAATTGTACACCTAACCCTTAACTGTACCCCACAAAATCATAATAAAAAATATTGATTAATAAAAAAAATAAATAAATAAATGGCAAATAATCACAGAAAGAGAGGCTCTATGTTATTATCAAAAAAATGCAAAAAATAATCACAAAGATTGGGTATAATATTTTACTGATGTCATAAACAGTAAGTGATACATAATAAAACATATTCATATTGAATTTTTAACTCAAGATTATTTAAAAATAAACAGTTGACCATACATTTAAAATTATAGTCTCTGATTTCCCTATATTCAAATTGCAAATGGTCCTCCCAAGGGATTAGCTTCTGTAGTCTAAAATGTTTCCCAGACCTTTCTGGGATGGGTCTGATCGTCAGTCTTAACTCTTCCTGTTTCTACTTTTTTTCTTTTACTACCACAGCTATTAGAGACACCTGCTGCCAGAACTTGCACCTGACTACCACAATCTCTGAGAACTCCAAAAGGGTAAAAAAACATTGGTAAGCAATTCAGAGAGAAAATGCATCCCAAATTCCAAATAATTTTTAAATGACTTTTTAGAATATAATCTTTTCATTAACTGTCTATCACCAGAAATATAATTAACGCTATAGAATACAAAGGATATTGAAGTACTGTAAGCAATGCAAACATTTTTTAAATACTGAAAGTTACCATTTCTTGCTTATTTCTCCTTCTGGAATCTTCTGAAGAGCTTCATATGCTACTGATGCCTGTGGCCTAATGGCAGATATTGTGATTTCATTGGTATTGGGTGTGGCCTGGGCTTTGAAATTTTAAGAAATTTCTAGGTGATTCCGGTTTACAGACAAGTTTAGGAACTACTGGGCCAGCAAATGGTATAAAGATGATGAACCTGTCGTTGTTATTTCCCTGATTTCTGTCAAGCTATTTGAATCATTTGGTATTACACCAAGTATTAGGCTCCACTCGTTACCGGCAAATTGTTTTCATCAGTGTTCTGGGGCATAAACTGCTTAGTAATGTAATCCAATACAATTCAGGCAGGAGTAGTTTTGAGACACGTTTTTGAGATTTGTTCTCACCTGAGAACTCTTGTGAGCTATCTCTTTCCCTGGTTCTCTCAAAGTTGACCTATGATTTCTCTTGTTGTTCTTAATTAAGAAGAGTTGCCGGGTGTAGTGGTTCACGCCTGTCATCCTAGTACTTTGGGAGATGGAGATGAGAGGATTACCTGAGCCCAGGGGTTTGAGACCAACCTGGGCAACTTGATGAGACCTCATCTCTACAATAAGTCAAAAAATTAGCTGGGCATGTGTCACATGCCTGTGGTTTCAGCTACTTGGAGGGCTGAGGAGGAAGGATCGCCTGAGCCCAGTAGGTTAAGGCTGCGGTGGCTGTGAACCTTCCACTGCACTCCAGCCTGGGTGACAGAGTGAGACTCTGACTCACAGAAAAAAAAGTTACTGTTTTTAAGAACATCCTTAGACTTGAATTTGCCCCCATTATCTTTCAAATAAAGTCATATTTAAAAGAGCTTTAGAGCTTTCTTTTCTTGATACTGTTAGGGTGGTAGTTGCTGGTTTTCTTGACTTGCCTCTCCCAGTATGGAGTCTCTGCTCTACAAGCAAGCTGCGGCAAGGATGTTTAGGGCCCCAGCATTTTTGCTCTGCCATACCTAAGGTAAAGGATTCTTCAGTCCAAGGGACATTCATTGGTTAGAAAAAGGGAGCTCTAACTTCTCAGCAACATTAATCAAAAATTTAACTTTTTCAAATCAGAGTTGGGGGGGGTGGTGAGACATGGTGGTGGCCTACCTATCCTAATGGAATTTGGCAACACTTGATTGAGAACTCAGAGGAGTGGTAGTCCCATACTGTTGACCACACCTGTCTGAAGTAGAACTTTCATCAAGCTGAGTTACAATGGTGGGAGTGGGGGAGTAGATCATGGTTCAAACTCTGAACCATGTTCTTCCTAAGTTGTAATCGATTTGCCTGAAAAAAATGTTTATTTGTCTTCAGCACAATGTACAGGGTTGTGTTCTTAACATTTTGACTCGTTTTGCTTATCTGAGTGGGGACTGAGTCCACAGAGTTCTTTTCACTGCCATTCTGGAAGTGGAACTGAGTCTTCATAAACTTAGGTCTTTGCTATCTTTGCTATCACTTGAAAGTTTCGCTCATTTTTTTTTTTTCCCAATGAATGCCTTGGATAATATCATGGCAGATTCATTATTTTAAATACAGATAAACACATTCAACTCTAGTTCATTATTTTAAATACAAATAAACACATTCAACTTTAGCTCAATTTTTAAAAATTTAAATAAGAGCAAAGTAAAGGATAGGTTGCTAGAAATACCCAGTAAAAAATAAATGTAGTTGTAGAAAAAATACTATATTTTGCATCTTAATTCAAAGCATGTGAATCCACTGCACATCAATAACATACTGCATAAATATATCTCCTAATTTTGAATGTATGACTACCAAAGCCAGCTTAGAGAAAGATGTCACACATAATGTTATTTGGTGAGAAAGGGAGACTTGGTCAAATAATAAGGAATAAGGTTAAATTTCTATATGATCTTGTTAGACTTGTATTACAGTCTCAATTGAAGCATGAAGCTTGGAAAGTGAAAACAAGAAATAAAGTAGACATAAATTCAAACTCAGAAATAGGATGCATCTATTCATCAGAAATGTTGTGTTTTCCATCAGACTCAAGTATTGGTATTAACAACTAACAATAAAAGCACTGGTTCTCCATTCATACATGTCAGAGTCAAAGAGATTGGGTTCTAACGGTTGGCAGTCACTTGTTCAGACTGCAGTCTGTCACACAGAGGAATGCCTAATGTGAGACTGAGCTGAACATTTTTTTTCTAAATTCTATTTTTGAAATAGAATTCCAAAGAACTTCGGTTCTTTCTGTGGACACACACCCACACTCACATAAAAAACATTAACTACAGTGAGAATAGCATACTCCCTGCTAAATATTTCAAACAATAAAGACATTTAAAACAATAAATACCATTCTCCAGCATTTTTGTGGGGAACCAGAAGAGAATGAAAGAGTGGACCACAGCATTTACACAATGAATCCAGAACATCTAGAAGAAAGCAAAGCCAGAATGTCAAGGTGGTACTTGGATCTAAATCTAAAAATATGTGCCATTGTGAAGGACTTTTGCTGTACATAACACACTTACAAAGCTAAAATGTAAATTTAAATCTATTCTACTTTAAATAAGTAATTGTAAAATTATAGGATAAGAGTCTTTTAAAAATAAATTTATTAAATGTAAATGTATATAATTAAAATGTAACATATTTGTCATTTTAAAAAAACCACGAAGGTTTATATTATCCAACAAAATGAAAACAGAAGTAATTTCTTAAAAAAATTTTTCAATTTTTAAATTACACTTTAAATGTGCCATACTTTATATGCTATACCATATTTTATATGCTATATTGTGATCCTTTACATTTATACTCTGACCCTGGCCAAAATAATTTTTAAGAGATCATGTACAATTTTATTAAAGGAAATCTCAATAATATAAAATCTCTGGGCTCAAACTAGGGTGCACATTAGATGAAAAAACTGTAAAAATAAGATGTTTGTTCTTTCCATTTTAAACACACCAATTATTTTCATGCTTGCCAGTGAAACTTACAAATAAAAGACAAGAAAGGAAAAGAATGTGAAAGAAACATATCTGGCCTGTGACCCAGAATTTCCTGAAGCAAGGCAGTTTTTAGAAAAGAATGTAAGAAACCAGTTCGAAAAACAACAATAACAAAAACTCAAAAAAACCAATGTCAGATTTAGACAACCTCATGACTCATGGAACACTGGGTACACTATAGAGTAAGTTCTAGCCTCAAGAGTGGAAAATTATTATCTCCAGACTTAGCACTACTCCTGTCCTGCCTAACAAATCTTAAAATTCATCCTCTAAAGGGTCAAACTGTTTCCAATTAATTTGCTTGTGTTCCAGGGCAAACCTTAAAAATATTTATAGAAATACAAAAATATCCAGCACTTGCCATGGTAAAATTCATATATCAGGCTTCCAATCCAGAATTACCAGATATATAAACGAGTAGGAAAATACTACCCAAAATAAGAAGGGAAGTGAGTCGATTAAATCCAACCCAGCTTTTAGAATTTGCAGACAAGATCTTGAAACAATTACTATAGCTATATTCTCATGTTCAAGAGCTCAGTAAGGGCATGAGAGATATTTTTAAATGCTCCAATAGAAATTCTAAAGATTAAAAACTATAATGTGTGATATGATAAACATACTGGTTGGGAATAATGGCAGATTCAACATGGTAGAAGAGAAAATTCATGGCAGATAGATATTGCAGAAGTAAACTTGAAGACAAAGTGATTTAAAAAAAATACCCCAAATGAAATGTAGAAAGAAAGGAGTACTTCTGAAACAAAAATATAGTTTCAATAAGGTTTTGGGCAACTTTCAAGTGAACTTTGTATAGCTGGAGGCATAGAAGGAGTGACAAAGACCAGAAAAAATATATTTGAAGAAATAATGGCCGAAAGCTTCCCAAATTTGGCGTATACTATAAACCGGGAAACTTTTCCTATTGAGGTCTAGGTAGGCTTTGGGGGCTACATAATCTCAGTTGAAACTACTCTATTTTGCTACTGTAGCTCTAAAGCAACCATTGATAATTTGTAAATGAACAGGCATGGCTGCATCTCAATGAAACTTTATTTATAAAAACAGGTAGAGAACCAGATTTGGCCCATAAGTCATAGATTAATCCACCTACTATAAACCCACAGATCCAAGAAGCTCAATGAACCCCAACGGACCCAAGAAACAAGACACATCAGAATAAAATGCTCACATCCAGTAATTAAAAAGAAAAAATCTTAAAAGCAGCCAGGGGTAGGGAGGGAAGACATTATTTATAAAGGTGAAGATGTTGACAATTTTATATCAAAACAATGTAAACAAGAAGACAATGGAAATTACTGAAGGAAACTACCTACCTAGAATTTTGTACAAAGCAAGAATAACTTTTAAAAATGAAGATGAAATAAAGATTTTTTTCATCCATGTAAAAGCTGAAAACTTCTCATCACCAGCAGATGGGCACTATAAGAAATGTTAAAGGAAGCCTTTCAGACAGAAAGAAAATTATAACAGATAGTAATGTGACTCTACACAAGGGAGAGAAGATTACTGAAAATAATAAATATATAAGATAAGAGCTTCTCTTACTATCTAAATCATTCTAAAAACAATTATTTAAACAAAATATGATCAATACAGTGTAGACTTATAAAGTATGTAAAAGTAACACGTATGACAAGAATAGTTCAAAGGTTAGAAAAAGAAAAATGTAAACATATTATATCAAGTGTTTTACAGTACATGTGAAGCAGCATATTACTTGAAGGTAGACTATAGACATCTATAAACTCTACAGTAACTTAAGGTAAAATAAGGCAAAATTAAAGAGTTATAGCTAATATGTCAAAAAAGAAGTCACATTGAAATTCACAAAAAATTATCCCAAAAGAAGGCAAGAAAAGGAGAGGGAAAAAATTATAGGTAAGACAAGTAGAAACTGGCAAGATGGTAAGTTCAAACCTAAACGTATCAATAAGCACATTAAATGTAAATACTTTGAACATCCCATTAAAAATCACACATTGTCAGATTGGATAACAAAGCAAGATTACAACTTTCCTAGAGGAAACACTTCTAAAGATGAAAGCACAAGGCTGGGTGCAGTGACTCAAGCCTGTAATCCCAGCACTTTGCAAGGCCAAGGCAAGAGGATTGCCTAAGCTCAGGGGTTTGGGACAAGCCTCGGCAACTTGGTGAGACCTCATCTCTACACTAAATCAAAAAATAAGCCAGGCATGCTGGTGCTCGCCTGTAGTTCCAGCTACTCAGAAGGCTGAGGCAGAAGGATCGCCTGAGCCCAGCAGGTCGAGGCTGCAACAGCCATGAGCGTGCCGCTGAACTCCAGCCTGGGTGACAGAGTAAGACTCCAATACCATTCAAACACGAAGGAAAAAAAAAACTGGAGTGATTATATTACTATCAAATTAAATTTTAGAGCAAGGAATACTGCCAAGAATAACAAAAATCATACCACAATGATAAAGGGATAAATGAAGAGAACACAACAATCCTGAACATTTATACGTCTCAAAGCTTCAAAATACATTAAGCAAAACTGGTAGAACTTCAAAGGGAAATCAATAAATCTACAATCATGGTTGGAGATTTCAGTATCTCTCAATAACTGGGAGGACAAGTGAACAGAAAATCAGTAAAAATATAGAAGTTTTAAACAAAACTATCTTTGAGCTTGACCCAATTAAATACATTATTTTCCAGTGAAGATGAAATATTTAGAAGACAGACTGCATTTTGAGCCATAAAATAAGTTTTAATACATTCAAAAGGCTTATGTTTCTTTAAAAGCTAGACAAATGATTGAGATACCATTGGTTTGCTCAAAACTGACAGTGTACGTCAGTGCTCTCACAGCCTGTAAAATCCCTTTAACTTTCCCACCAAATCTCAACTCCATTGATTTCAGGAGGTGATCATTCCAAGAGAATCCGGTGAAGCAATGGCTCATCTAAAAGTAGACCTCAGTCCCTCTTCCAGCCTTCCCAGAACTTTCTTTTCCACAACATGCTTCTTGAAGTTGTTCAGTGCACAGGATCTGTGAGACCACACACAGCACCCGCTTCTTTTCCACAATTCTTTTTTTTTCTTCTTCCACTTCCTACATGGTGCTATTTCTCTCATTTGAAACTCAATTCTCTGGATAAGCTAAACAACCAGAAATTGGCACAAGACTGTATTCCTTCTGTTTTAAACTTTATTTTTCCGAAAGCATTCAAAAGGGAAGAGAGCCATAGTAACTTTGGAGTCACGTTGGGGTGAAAGACCTGCAATAAATTTGGCTTACCTTTGTGTTGAAAGTGTTCCCTGCTTGAGAAACTATAGAGTTGAGGATACTTAAGCAGGCTCTCCTGACTGCTACACTTTTCAAAGATTCCCAGAATTAAAGGTGGTAATGAAGTGAAAATCTACATTAAAAACAAGGATCTGTTAAACAGAACTTTAAGCCTGTACTTGAATTAATAATATTGTAACCAATGTACATTTGCTAGCTTTGATAATATGATTATTAAGGCATCAAGGGAGAAGGAAGGTAACAGATATATAGAACCTTATTATTGCATCTTGTGCTAAGTCTTAAACTATTTAAAATAAAAGTTGTTTACAATGGAGCTATTATTGCGTTACATATGGACCTAATCAACTAATCAAATTAGAGATCTAATTTTTCTGATTGATGAAATTATTTGATTCAATAGCTTGTATCTATGTAAATGTTGTCTTATAAACATAAAATGGATACTTTTTAGTTTGTTGTGTCTATGAGCATAAAACAAATGAATTGAATGTCTAGTTATGTAAACAATAGGCCTAATATTGGCCAATAAATCTAGCAACAATGACATCTAGTTCCCTTTTAAGAACCAGTTGTTTTATAGCTAGTTCACTTGTTCTTTTGTTTGTTTGTTTGTTTTCTGCCTTATTGCACTTCCTAGGACCTCCAGACATGCTGAACAGAAACAGCAGGAGCATACATTCTTGTCTTGTTTCTGATGCTAGAAGAACACATTCATTTGTTCATGATGCTAGCTGTAGGGTTTTTCTAGAAGCACTTAATGCTCCGCAGGAATGAGTAATGAGTTCTCTCAAATGCTTTTGCTGCATCTGTTAAGATGACTGTATAGCCATTCCTTTTAAGTAACATAGTGGGTTCCACTGACTGAGTTTTAACAATGCATCAAACTTGCATTCCTGGGATAAGTGCTGATTTGTCACACACAAAAAAGTATTTTCCTTTCTATATATGGTTGGATTTTATTTGCTAAAAATTTGTTAGGAGTGTGTACATCTGTGATCATAAGTGATATTTGACTGTAATTTTTATTTCTATAATATCTTTGGTGGTCATATCAGGCTAATGCTGCATCATAAATGAGTTGGAGTGGTTTCTCCTCCTCTGTTTTCTGGAAAAGTTTGTCTAAATGTGTAGACATTTCTGGAAGTTTTTGTTGTTGTTGCTGATGGGAAGTTTTTTTTAACTAAATTCAAAAATTTTAACAGATATGGGGCTATTTGTGTTCTTGAGTAATATTTAATAGTTTGTGTCTTTCAAGAAATTTGTCAATTTGATCCAAGATGTGAAATATATTGAAACTGTTCATAATATTTGCTTATTATCTATTTATTGTCTGTAGGATCTGTAGTGATAGCCTTCTCTTTCATCCTGATATTGTTAATTAGTATCTTTTATTTATAGATTTATTTTTGTATATTTGGTCAATCTGAACAAGATTTACTGACCTTATTGATCTTTTCTAAGAGCCAGTTTCTTGTTTTGTTGATTTTCTCTATTATTTCTCTGTTTTACATTTCTTTGATTTATAGTTTTATATTTATTATTTATTTTGCTCTGCTAGTCTGGAGCTTCATTTACTCTTATTGTTTTAGTTTCTTCAGGTTGATTCTTGGATCAGTGATTTTAAACCTTTACTTTCTAATACAAACATTTAAAAATGTAAGTGTTCCTCTGTGAAGTGCTTTAACTGCATGTCATACAATTTGAACAGTTGTGATTTCATTTTTGTTCTGTTCAAGGTATTTTCCAATTTCTCTTGTGATCTCTTCTGTGACCTATGGTTAGAAGTGTGTCTTTAATTTTTAAATATATAAGAATTCCCCTAATATATTGTTGTTATTGATTTTTAATTTTAATCAATTGTGGCCGTAGAACATAGTCTGTATAATTTTAGTCCTTTTGAATTTAGCATCTTGCTTTATTGCCCAGAATGTGATCTGTTTTGGTTAAAGTTCCATGTGCACTTGAAAAAAAAATGTGTATTCTGTTGGTGTTGGGTAGCGATTTCTATAAATGTCAATTCAGTCAAGCTAGCTGTAATATTGTTCAAACCTTCTATATACTTTCTGAAATTTTATTTAGAGTTTCTATCAATTAAGGAGCAGATCATTTAAAGCTCCAATTGTAATTGTGAATTTATTTAATTTGCCATCCAATTATATCAGTCACTTATTACTAGTATATTTCTAAGAATCAATAAGTGATTACATATTTAGAATTCAAAGGTGCTCTTGGTAAGCTCATCTCTTTGTAACTAACTAATGTTCATATTTATCTTATCATTTCTTGTTCTGAAGTCTGCTATTTCTGGTATTGACAGAGCCATTCCGGTTTTCTGACAGCACACTGTGCCCAGTCCAGGGTCTGGTCCAGAGTACATGTCGAGTGTTTGTTCAGTATGCGAAGAAGAAAGATAAGGAAGAGGCTAGGCTGGGAAGACTTGGAGGCAGAGGAAGAGGGGGTCTAGGGGGAGATTGAGGGGCCAGAATAGTCCAGTTAGATGGGTTTCAGACAGTAAGATGAGAAGCCAGCCTGGTAGAGAGAGAGTGATTTGTCCATACAGGAATCTTATTATGTAGTTGTTCATAAGGGCCTCCAGAATTGAATTACTGCCTGGAGGAGAAGGTCTAAGAGCCAAGGAGAGCTGCAGCAGGAGTCAGACTTCATGGACAGTGTAGACAGCAGATGGATCTCCTGAGGGGTTGGGGGTCTTCCTGATGAAGCCTCTCAAGTGGACTTTTTCTAACATGTTGGGGAATAAGTTCCAGTAGAAAAGGTACTTGTGACTGTGGAGCTGTTTAAGGGAAAGGCTGAGGAGATATATTGTCTGTATCAGAACTCGCCTCTCCTCCCACCCCATGGTGGCTCTGTTAGAGCTGAGTAGCCTGTGTTAACTCCTGCCCAGATGAGAAGACTTTCTACTTGGTGTTGCTGCAGCTGCAGAAAGAGAAGAGAGTCACAATCCTCGAGCAGAATGGAGAAAAGATGGTGAAGTCTGCCTGGGGGTCACATGCCAAGGTCTCTCCTATCAACGATGTAGATGTCAGGGTGTACCAGCTGATGCAGAATGAACAGCTTATCTCACACAAAGTGGAGTCCTTATCCCAAGAAGCTGAGAGGTGTAAAGAAGAAGCACGCTGGACTTGCCAAGCAGGAAAGAAACAGCTGGCATTGAGGTATCTCAAGGCCAAGCAACAGACAGAGAAACACATCGAGGCCCTGCATGCCAAGCTGACCACGGTTGAAGGACCGGATCTATGCCTCCCAGACAGATCAGGTGGTTTTAATGCCTACCAGGCTGGGGTAGGAGTACTAAAACTCTCCATGAAGGATGTCACAGTGAAGGCAGAGAGCCTTGTGATCAGATCCAAGAGCTCTGTGACACCCAGGATGAAGTTTCTCAGACTCTGGCTGGTTGAGTGACCAATGGCATAGATTTTGACAGTGAGGAACTAGAGAAGGAATTGGACATCCTCCTTCAGGACACCATCAAAGAACCTTTGGATCGGCCCGACAACCCCCACGAGACGTTTTATACAAAAAATGTGCCTAAACCTAGGATCTCGGATTCTGAACTTGAAGCTGACCTTGAAAAACAGTCCTTATCAGAGGGAGGTTTGGTCCCAAGCAGTAAATTGTTGAAAAGAAAATTGGCACCAACTCTCTAAAGCCATTGTTGGACCCTCAAGTGAAGGACCCTCGTGTAAAAGAGAGATCAGACTTGTGTGTGTACATAGTTATTTAAATGAGAAACTCAGAATTTGTTGGGAAGAGGAGGAAGGAGAACCATTGATTTATCTGGATGCTACCATTTACTACAGGACAGATAGAATTTCTGGAAGCAATGCTCTCAGCTGTATCATGGATCTGCTTTCTCATCTTTATAGTGCCACAATTGATACAGTTCTGTGTTTGACCTGTTGTCGCTTCAGTTCAGTTTGTCTTCACCCGCCATGACTTTTTAGAAGGGCTTATTCTGTCTATAATGTCAGTTAAATAACTTATTCCTGCCCCACTTGATTTTGGTAATGAGAAGAATGAGAATAAAACATTTAAATTTTCATTTGAGGGGACTTAGCTGCCATTTTATGGAGAAATATACAGTATAAAGGATTTAAAAACAAAGCCATTCCAGCTTTCTTTTGAATGGTGTTTACGTTGTAAATCTTTTTTCCACTTTTTCCTTTTTACCTATCTGTGTCTTTATTTCTGAAGCAGGTCTTTTGTAAAAATCATATAGTTGTGTCTTGATGTTTTTCGTTATTTTTGAAGTAGGTTTCTTGTAGAAATCACATAGTTGTGACTTGATGTTTTAAATACAATCTCTGACTTTTAATTGGAGTATTGTATTTAAATGTAATTGTGAATATGTTTGGGTCTAAATCTAGCATCTTCTAATTTGTTTTCTATTTGCTGCATTTATTCTTCAGTCTTACCTCATTTTCTCACTTCTTTTGCATTAATTATTCATAAAAATTTTATATATCTCTATTAATGGTTTATTAGTTATAACTTTTCATTTTAATTTTTTCAGGTGTCCTTTAAGGTCTGCAGTATTCATACATAATATATCAAAAAATTCAAATAATATTGTACTTCAATTCTCCCCCACTCATTGTGCTATAATATATAACTAATAAGCCTCACAATACATTTTTGGTTTTGTTTTAAATAGTCACCTATTTGTTAAAGAGATTAAAAATGCAGAAATAAATCTTTCATATTTGCCCACATAATTAACATTTCTAGTGCTCTTCATTTTTTTTGAGCAATCCAAATTTCTTTTTGTATTACTTTTTTCTCTTGCTTGAAAAACTTCATTTATCATTTTAGGTATTACAGGTCTTCTAGTGGTGAATTCTCTATATTCTTGGCCATTTTTTTCTGGGTATAGAATTCCATTTTTCTTTCAGAATTTTAATTATGTTTAACTGTCTTCGAGCCTGCATGATTTCTAATGAGAAGTCTGCTATTATTCTTATATTTATCCTCTGTATGTAATTGTTTTAATCTGGCAGCTTTAAATATTATTCTATTGGTTACTGATTTTAGTCATTTGATTTGAAGAGAGTTTGTGTACTTGTCTTTAAGTTTATTGTTGAAATTTGTTGAGATTTTTAGATCTGGACATTTATAGTTTTCATCGAATGTGACATTTTAACAATTGTTTCTTCAAATATCTTTTTGTGCCCTCCTTCTATTGAAGCTTTAAGCATATAAATATTAGAATGCTTATCTCAGTAAAATGAGCTTTTTTTCTTTTGGTTGTTTTTTGCTCTCTGTACTTCTGTATTGCCATGTCTCCATACTTACTAATCTTTTTACTGAAGTTTATAATCTAATCTTAATCCCATCCAGAAAAATGTCCATTTCAGATATTGTACTTTTTATTCATGAAGTTCCATTTGGTTATTTTCTAAGGTCTTCAACTTTTCTCTTCATTATATTCATATTTTCCTTTATATCTTTGAACATGTTTATAAGATTTATAATAGGTGTTTTAAGGTCCTTATCTACTAATTCCAACATCTTTATGATTTCTGCCTCTGTTCTTAATTATTTTTCATCGAATTATGGGTCTTACTTTTCCTGTTTCTTTATATATATATATATATATATATATATATACACACACACACACACACATATACATATATACATTTTATTTTAAAGATGTAGAGTACAATTCAGGAATAGGTATACAAGTGGACATCGTATAATAGGTATACAAGTGGACATTGGGCTTCCCTTTGGTCTCCACTTTGCCTGGTTTGAGATCGGGTGCCCTAACTGATGTTATGTGCCCCACCCCACCCCGGCAGTATCCCACTACTGCTAATCCCTTTCTTATAGTACTATGGTAAATGTTCAGGGTCCGCTTATGAGTAAGGACATGTGGTACTCAGTTCTTTGTTGCTTTCCTGTTTCTTTATATGTTGATATCTTTTATTGGATGCTGAACATTACATATGTTGTGCTGTTGGAGGCTGGATTTCATCCTTTAAATATTGTTTGGCTATGTTCTAATATTCAAGTAGGTAACTTGCAAATCAGTTGGATTCTTTTGAAGCTTCAAGTTTTGTAATGGTAGGTCTAGAATAGTGTCTATTATGGGATCGATTCACCCTTACTATTAAAAGCATGACCTATAAAATAGGCTTAGAGTCAGATGATTTTGCACAATTGTGGGCTATGTAAGTGTCCAGAGCACATTTAAGGTGGACCAGGCTAAGCTATGTTTTTGGCAGATTAGGTGGATTCATGGCATTTTTACTTACAATATTTTCAACTTATGATGGGTTTGTTGAGACATAACCCCATCAAAAGTGGGGGAGCATCTGTTTGTGCTACCTGTTAGGTATACAGATGATCAACTTAGAAACACTTTTCAGACACAGACAGTGGAGGAATATCACTGAAGTCTGTGTGCTATCAGATAGAGGTGGAGAATGCTTACCACATTGTACAGGCTGATACACCAACGTTCAAATAAAATCTGCCCAGAAAATCCATTAAAAAAGGTGAACCAAAGCTGAAAGAGAAGGAAGCCAAGTGAAACATTCTATCAATATTTTAATATATATTCATTATTAAAAACAAGCTGGCAGGACTGCTGGAGAATAATTACTGAGGGGGCATACAATTGTCCTTTCCTAAATATGTCTATATTATGAAAGAATAAATTAAATATGAGTTGCAAATGCCACATATTACTGATAGTTTAAAAGACTGATGTACTTCAGTCATTCATGGCATACACCTTTATACTATCATATGGATTTCTTACATAAAGTCATTTGGAAAAAAATCTCCCAAATCAAGTAACAACGGTTTGTCTTTGTAACAAGTAACTGTGTCTTCTATGTTCACAATGATTTCAGATATTTGTTCTGTTTCATAGTGTGTTAGTAGTAAGAACCAGAGTATATGGGGCACTTACCTACCAGGTCCTTTCCTATTCCTTACTGGAAGGGATAAAAATAGGAAGGGAACTTCTTCATGATAAAAATTTTCCATTTCAATGGGGGCTTAACTGAAAGAGTCCAGAGATTTCTACTGTGTTTAATCTCTGAGAGGATCTAGAGTTGAGAGAGATGTAATCTGGTTCCAAACAGGATATTTTTAAAACACAAACTATGTAAATAAGTCATCATGAGGTCATAAGATGCTTCCCTTATGCTCTAGCTTAAAGGTTTCTCCCACCAAACCTTATGCTAAAATCTGATTCCCCATGTTGGGGAAAGGGCCTAACAGGAAGTGTTTGGGTCATGGGGGTAGATCCCTCATGAATAGATTAATGCCCTCCCTGGGAAGTGGGAGTGAATGAGTTCTCGCTTTCTTAGTTCCCACAAGAGTTGATTGTTAAAAAGAGCCTGGTAGCCCCGCCTTGCTCTCCTGCTTCCTCTCTTGCCATGTGAACTCTGCCCACCATGAGAATCAGAGGCTGGCACCGTGCTTCTTGTACCATCTGCAGAACTGTGAGTCAAATAAATCTTTTTTCAAAATAAATTACTCAGCCTCAGGTGTTCCTTTATAGTCACACAAATGGATAAAGACCACTCAACACACTTTTTTACTTAGTCACTTTTGTGAGCAAAAACGTAAAGCAGAATTATGTGAACAGCACTAAGTGAGATAAATATAAAAAAAATTTAAACTGTCAAGGCTGATGTCAAAGAAAAGACCAAACTCCTCAATGGAAGAAAGAACATCTACTTCCTTACCCCGATGACATATAGTACTACATTCTTGGAGAAAGAATACAATATGCATTTGGTCACTCGATAATAATTCCAAGCTCCATGAACCAACAAAAGCTTCTCCAAGTAGCTAAACTGAAAGACGGAAACAACAGTCAATGCAAGTTCAAATGAACCACCATTTAGTGACAAAACCCACAAAATGTCATCTCCCCAGTATTCCACAGCCCAGCAGTTCCTGCTGCAGAAAATACAACACAGAAGATGAGCAGAGTGAAACTGATTCCACAGACAGCCTGATGTGTCAGGTCAATATAAAGAAAATTAACTTCTCTCATTGTTAAAAAAGAAACATTAAATATCCATTTTTTGCTCAGCAAATGCTGCTTGGTTTTTCACTGATCATATGCATGGTTTTTAGTTGAATCTGATACATATTTAGGATCTTAATCTTGAGAAAGTGGTCAAAATTATTTAATAAAGAAAAATCAAGCTGGGCCCAGTGGCATGTGCCTATAGTCTTAGCTACTCAGGAAGCTTAGACTGGTGGGTGGTTTGCACCTGGGTGACAAAAGGATAATATATTGGAAACAAGAAGCTCAGGTTCAATCACTGATTTTTCCGTCTGATCAAGTGGAAATAACAAAGTCTTATAGGAATCAGTTCCTTGTTTTGTACAATAAGTAAAAGAAAAATAAACAAAAATATAAAAGGGAAGTAATGGGCAACTATCTATAGCACCCCTAGTCTTCTCACCCTCACCTATGTTTCCTTTTCCATAGCACTTATCACCTTGTAACATAAGATGTAAGACGTGTATGACTTATTTATCATATTGTTGTGCATTTTACCTCCTGGAATGTAAGCTCCACAAGGGCAGGACTCATTTGCCGAATCCTGGATACCTACAAACATGCCAGGGTTTGAGAGGCACTCAATAAACATTTTTGGAATAAATGAATATTCAGAATTATTCCACAAAGTCAGGTAATTTATAGTAATTCAGTGATTTAAATACTGACTTCAAAATGGCAAAAAGTGGTACTATGGGAAAAATAAACATTTTGAAAAAGTCTATTTAAGTCTTGGGAACATGAGAAGGAGGGAGGGGGAGACACTGAATCATAAAACACATAGCTAAATAAAAAACAAAAAAGGCGGGGGTTGAAAGTTAGCACTTGATATTAAAAACTTGAGTCATTTTAAACACATTCCCATTGCTTCAAGTTTAGATTTTCAAGGGAAAAAGAGAAATCCTAAATCAAAGTTATATTTTTTAGGATGAATTAAAATATTAAGTTTGAGAAGTATCCAGCAAATAATGTGCTTTCTTTAGAGAATAAAAAAAAAAAAATCTAGGTTATGAGCAGAATGCTATACTGATACACTCTGGGAAAGGGGAAAGTTATATATGACCAAGAAGCCACAAGGTAAAGGATGGGTGTATGACCCACCACTGCAACTTAGGTAGTGATGGAGATAGATGGGGCAGAAATGGAAAAATGCCCACCACAGTAGTGGGTGAGCAGATGTCATTCTGGGGCAAGTAGAAAGTGGCACACACCATGGCAGAATACTTTCTCCTTGTCTCCAGCCAAGGTTGCTCTCAATTAAGATGAGATGGGAGAAGAATATCCATGCAGGTTAAAGTGCTTTCATTAGCCTCAAATGACGTTTAACAGGGGCCAAAGTGTGAATCAAATCGGTTTTCTGCATTTGACTGGCTTAGTGTGGAAACTCCAGGTGGGTGAAAGGAAGGAAGAAAAAAAGCCTGCAGCCTTATGCTGTCTCCCTAATCACAAGTGCAGCTGTGGTGAGAGAGCTCAGAACAAAGATCAAAGAGGATTCCCACTGGCAGGCACTTCAGAGTGTTCAGTTCCACGGGTGAGGACAAACGCTGGTCTCCTAGAATGTGAACTCCTTGAAGCAGGCTCACAAAATTCTGCCTCCCACTCTCAGGTTCCTCTTGCACTTTGATGTTAAAGAGAACAACCTAATGATTCTAAATCCCATGAAAATGTGGTTTTATAAGAGAAGGTAGAATCTCTTTCCCTAGACATTCTTAAGACAATGGCAAACAGATATACCCCTGGGACTCCAGGACAGCTGATCTCTGCCAGCCCTGTGTGTCTACAGTGTTCAGTAGTTCAAGGTTGTGTCACATGTAATAGCTGAGATCAGGGGAAGTACATGTCCCAATGGCTAAAGGACATAGGTGAGTTTGGTGTGGCCATGTCCTTGTTTACAGACAAGGACCTCATCATGGTGCATTGACACTTTTCTCATCTCAGACCTCCTAACACAGAGCAGCCCTGGTATGCCCACCTGTTAGTCTAGGACACTTAATCTCTGAGTGAGGAGGAGAATCTTAGAATGGATCTGATTCAAACATGAAAGGATGCTTTTCATCTGTGCTGAAGAACCCCTAAGAATACATGTTTCCACTCTAGTTTCAGGCATCCGTTCACTTGTGGACAGACTACTAAATCATACAGTATCTCAGAGACAGCCCACAGCAAAAATAGCCCTAAACAGAAATGACCTTCCCAGAGTCCCATGGTTATTCCCAGAGAGTTTTTCTTTCTTTCTTTCTTTCTTTCTTTCTTTCTTTCTTTCTTTCTTTCTTTCTTTCTTTCTTTCTTTCTTTCTTTCTTTCCTTCCTTTCTTTCTTCCTTCCTTTCACTCTTTTTTTGTGATTGTAAAGATGGGGGGTACAATTCAGGGTTAGTTATATAAATGGTCATTATGCAGGTATCCTTGTTGATGAAGTGTGCCCCCTTCCTTCCTCTGACAGTTTCCCACTTCTGCCAAACCCCTTTTTATAGTATTATGATAATTGTTCAAGGTCCGCTTATGAGTGAGAATATATGGTACTCAGTTCTTTGTTTCTGTGACAGATCACTGAGTATTATAAGCTCTAAATCCATCAGGTTGCTGTGAAGTTCATAGAGTTTTTCAATAATTAAATATGGTTCCTGAATTCAGCAAGAATGAGAAGCGTTATTGCTGAATGCTCATATGTGATGGAAATATCATATTCATTAAAATCCAATATTATGTGATTGATTAAAATAGAATATTCTTCAAAAGTCAAAATATTACAGCATAGAAACAGAAGGGTACCCTTGGTAAACAGCAAGTGATATTGCATAGTGCTATGTCTATGACTGGTGGACACTTATCTCCAGTCCCCAGGGTCATGAGCTTGGCTGCTTCCGTTTCCCAATCAAGAAACAGCTACAGGGGGACTTCCGGCAAGATGGCGACGGGGCAACCGGGTCTGTGAAACCCTCTGCAAAGGAGAACTGCAGAGGGTCTCTGGTTCTCGCCCCAGGGGCTGCAGACCCCAAAATCACAGCCTGTTCTTCATACAGAGCTCAGCTGTTGCCACCACTGGGGCATCGCAGCAGACTGGACAACTACTACAGCACAGACACTGCTGCCGCCGCCGGTAGCACATTGCACCATCTGGGCCGGAGGCGATCCACCACTTCAGTCCTTGAAGCCACTTCAGGGAAGATCTGCTGGGATCGCTGCCACCTCTCCTGCGACTGAGACGTCCTGCCCGTCCTGAGTCTCCTGCCTGTGCTCTGAGGCAGGCATCCATCTCCAGTCTCTGCCAGTTCCTGTCCAGCCCCACTCCCACTGGGGCAAGCAGCTGAGATAGCACCACCTGCTGGCAATTCAAGATAACAACACTGAAACAGGAGAAACAAGCTTGATAAAGACATAGACCAGGGTGGTGAACGGGGGGTGATCTGAACTGTCCTTCACAGCAGACCAGGGGCAACTGACCCTAACTGCAAACTAATTTACCTGCTTGAAAAGAAAGCTAAAAATCAGACCTGAAAGGACATTGGACTTAAACGAAAAGTCTCAGAGTGTGCTTCACTGATTCTGTTAGTTTAATGACTTAATTCTATTCCTACTGTATTGTTCCTTTTTTTTCCTCTTCCTTTTCTTCTCTTTTCTTTTCTCTGTAAATCATATCTTTGTATAGAGGAACAGCACACCAATAAGGTGGTTGGTTAGCTTGTATGTGAGCATCACTATATGGGTTTTTTTTTGGTATGGGAGTTGGTTCGTCAGTAGGTGTGGTCTATTGTTTGTATCTGTTTCAGTATAGGCCTCTCTCTACATTTGTTGGCACACGTTTGTTTCCCCCCTAACTCCTCTATCTCTCCACTCCCCTCTTCAACCCACTGTCTGCTCCATTCTCTTCCCTCTGCTAACCACATTTTATTTCAGGGAGTAAACCTACAGCCCCACTGCACGGACAGATTCCAAGGCAGTGGCAAGTGGGTTCCAGATTATCCACACACCTGTCAGTGAATACCAGGACCTGCAGATAGATTTTGAATCACAGCTCCCCTCTTAAGTAAATCTCAAAACTGCAAAAAGGACCACCTCCAACTACAGTGCAACTCCAGAATTGAACAAAGTAAGAGGACATACATAAAGAATAGGAGATTGAACAAACAGAAGTAAAACCAATCCCTTTAGCCCTGCATAACAGAATTAAAGAAGACGGTGACGTGGAGGGAAGGAAAAAGTAGGGAGTGGGAAAAACTGCACAAATGAAGAAAAACCAAAAAAGATTATAGGTCTCACACAGACCCCTGGGAAATCAGACACTGAAAAAACAGATTCTGGAACACAAACAATGAAGAGCCCCCAGAATGACTGGTCACATGCAGCAAACCCAGACATCAAGACATTAATGGAGAGAATTTAAAAAATTGAGGAGAGACGAGGAAAATAGGAAGGAGCTGATGTCAGAAATGACAGCAGTAAAGAATACTGTGATGGAAATGAATAACAGACTGATAAGCATGGAAAGCAGAATCAGCCAAGCAGAAGAAAGAATCTCAGAGCTCGAAGACCAAAGCACAGAACTAACCCAAACTGTCAAAAACATAGAAAAGAAGCTCAAAAAGACAGAACAAAACCTGCAAGAGATGAATGATCACTTCAAGAGACCAAACCTAAGAGTAATTGGACTTCCTGAGGCAGAGAGAGAAACAAAAGCCACACTGGAACAAACACTTCATGAAATCATTCAAGAAAACTTCCCTCATCTCATCAAGGATGAAAAAATTCAAACACAAGAGATTCAGAGAACCCCGGCAAGACAA